GATTTAATCAATTCAAAACTGATAAATTATGCGGTGTGCATTCGGTGAGTATAGAATCATCCGCTTCCCTTTCATAAAGGCAGATCACAGAAACTTTGCGCATTCTGCCTACCAGTCAGCTGACTATATGCCTTTAAAAGAGTTTGTGCATGTTATTCTTGGATTCAGATTATTATGAATAGCAATTGATATCTTCAACCTGGCTTTCGGGCTGGAAATAAATCTGAATTTTCAGCATGCTACCACATTTTCGCTTTATGTTTATTGACAGAAACTTACCATACACAAACCATCCTGCTTCCTATCTTAGTACGGATTTGCCAACATCTACTATTCCGTCAATCATTAGTGATTTTGTGCATGGTTGAATATATTGTAAACTTTGTGGGTGTGGTGATAACATGTACGATTCACAATGGTAGACGGTACGGTAGTGGCAGACTGGTCGTGTCCCTGTGGAAACCGAAAGTAGTGGCTGAGGGCCGAGCGAAGTGAGGTCCTCAGCCACCATAACGATTGATACAAGATAGAATCGGTATGGGGTCCGAGAGCGGAGCCCCCGGCCACCAGTGGTCGTGGGTTTAATGAAAGTTAATGAATTTTAATGATTGTGAGCCGCTGATGTAAGCGCGCAATGTGGCTGCACCGATTGTAGTCGATTGTTCTGGAGAGTTTTCGCCCCTACCTCCTGAAGTGCGGTGCGCGCAACTCGGATGGGACTGTGAGTAGTGCGGCCATCAGGCGCGGGCCACAGAGAGCCTGTGACATGCCGTCCGTCCAAGGACACGACACGCTTCCACTGAGAGGCCCTAGGATGTGAGCCAGGTGACCTGGACGTGGCCAAGAGGGAGCCACGGCCACAGTGGAATTTCCAAAACCTGTTGTGTGGAGGTTTCTGAACTATTTAGGGATAGAAGTAGAATATATCATTATGTGTAAATCACTTTGCAGGCTCTAAGTTCCACCATTCCAACTTTGCGAGGCTGCTCATTGTCATCGCCTATGATGGGGATGTCATGCAAGGATGCCCAACTGGTTCATTGCTTTACGATTAATTTCAAGAGTCATCACAACGGCATTCGGCCAAAAATTTCAACAACCTATTATCGGTAAAAAGAAGTAGACAATTTCTCCCAACATCTGTGAGTTACCTCACAGATGTTGGTCACCACATTATGCTTGCCGGTGATACATATGGAGTGTGATGTATAAAGCGCGCAATGTCCACCATTCAGGGTCCATGGGATGAGCCATGCTTCGTGAACTGTCATATTACGGATATGGCCTTGCACAAGGCCATATCCAAGATATGCCAGTTCACGAAGCATGGATCAATCCACGCTGTGGATGAAACGAGCATGATCCACTACGTACAGGCCATCAAGCGGCACATGGCCAAGTACTACAACGCACTGGGTGATCACGGTTGGCGGAGAGGACAGCAGCACTGCACAGCAACCTGGCTATGAATTGGACGTTCACATATTTCCTCGATTAAGCGAGGCGCTTTTCGCGTACAAAGGCCGCTTTCTCTGCCGATTTTGGCCAAGGCATCTTCACCGGCTTGCCGCATATATGATTTTTGGCGGGAGGACCAAGCGCACATTTTCTTGGATTGCCCAGGGCTTTCTAGTGCCTGTTTTACATGCCATGAATCTGCGCGACGTCTGGTACATGCACAATCCAGTGGGACATCTTTGAGCTGGTGGCCCAGGGCCTTGGATCCAGGTGTGCTTTCTGACGCATGTGCAATGTGCGTGGGCTCGTGTGGGACATCGGGATTGAGGGTTGATTTTTTTCACTGTATTTTCTGAATATAATCCATGGGGATTTTATTACTCGCGGCAGTTCACTGCATTTCATGGCACAAGAAGAATGCGGGCAAATGAATGAGTGAGAACGAATGAATTGCTCTCTGTTCTTTTGGGGTTGTGGAACTGTGTGGACATGGGACCATGAGAAATGGCTTCTGAACAAACAATCTGCTTGATTTTCATGCCCGCCATCACGCATCAGGTGCGCGGTCTGTGTTTTGTCATTTTATGGCAAATTTAGTTGATGTATTTTGATAATGATGTTGCAATGGATCCTGGCTGTCCCTGCCTTGGATAATCATATTCTATTGAGTATCTCATTGATATGTGCATTAGTGAAAACCTTTAAGCTCGCCTTGAAGCTGGGTGGTGCTCCAGCGCTTGGGCAGCTCTATTCAAAGAATTTTTGTCATGTCCCTCCTTGAATTGGACATCATATACAAAGCTTTTTTCCCCAGGATGTGATTTGGAGAGGCTCCCGCTTCCCTCACCGCCGCTCGTTGTGTGGCCGCAGCTTTCGCGTTGGCACGCTTTCGTTCACTAATTCAGATAAACGCAAATAGCACAATGCATACGGCGCTTTGTCACTTTCGATGACCGCCGCGATTGGCACCCTGTTTCAGATCGGTATGTGATGTGTTAATTGGCCATCTGCAGGTACGCTTTGCAGATCATTGGGATAAAGAGGGGGGTGGGGTGGGGTGGGGTGGGGGTATTGGGTCAGCGACTTAATGCAGAACGCGGGGGGCACGAGGTATGGAGTGGGGGCATGCAGGATAATGCATCCCGGCGATTGTTCGATACATATCGTTGGCGGATATGAAGGCCACGATGAAGCCATCAAACTCGCGAAAGTACTAGGCACCTAAAATTTTAAAATTCATTAATGGCCTAATCCCGAAAATGACCTTCATGAGTGCCGTGACTTCTTGCCTGCATGACATTCATCACCATCACGACTTCGTGTCCGGAAATGAAGGGTCTAATATTATAAGCTGGGAACGCGGCTAAGAGCGCCCCGGAAATGAATTTTTTAAAGGCTGACTTAGCGTTCTTGTGTAAGAATCGACCCCTGTGACAGGGGGTTTACGTGAGTGGCGGGGCTCTCCGAGTCGTGTGCCGTGGGCATGCGTCCCGGTGGGCCGGTGGCTGCGCTCGAGGGCGGCCGACGGCAGGCGCGCAGCTAGCGGTGCCGCGGCTGCGGCGCGCCGTGCGCCCTTGCGCTCGATGCGCGTCTCACGGCGCGATCCCGCACCGTCGCGTCGGCATTGACGGCCATCGCCAGCGCCGATGGCCGCAGCGGCGATGGCTTGGGTCCCCAAGCTCAACGGTCGCAGTTGCAGCCCCACGTGAGGGGTCTGGCCAGGGCCGGGAGCTGCCCCATATCCCCGAACGCTCTCTGCCGTGGCAGCCATCAGCGCGGCGATGGCGGCACGCGAGGCAATCGCCGCCCCTCAAGGCCCAGTCTTCGGGGCCCCCGGGACCGCGAGTGAATTTTTTGAAGGCGGAGAGCGGGGGTGCAGCTCCCACCCCGGTCGGGGGCCGTGCTTGAGCGCGAGCACAGGCTGGAGCATGGACCTCCGCCATCGCGATCACAGCGCGCGGTGTGTGACTCCCTCGGCTCCGACTGCCTCCTCGCCAGGCTAAGGCGCGCAATGCGGGCAGATATGTGGCTTTCCGCCGTCGTGTCCATGGCGTCCAGCACCTGCCCGTCCTCGTCGCCTGCATTTTTGGTTTGATCCTGTGTCCCCTGGTGCGTCCACTGCAGGGCGCCGTTGGTGCATGTGCTGATCATCCGGGACAGCAAATCAGCGCTCAGAACTGCCTTTCGTTGTGGTTGTGCAGCACAGCGGCTCTGGAGGCGCGCGATGGCTCTCAACAATAGCCATCGGCTTGGCCATCGCTGCGTGGAGTGCAGTTGCCGCACCATACGCCCAACCGCCAAGTGCCAACGGGCCCAAGGGTGGCACAGGGACAAGCCGGGTGTTTCAATGGTTGGGCAAGAGGAATTGTCGGGAAGGGAGCAACGACTCCCCATCGAATGGGGATTCCTTGGTGGGGAGGGCGGGCCACCTATTCTTGCATAGCGGGAGCAAACTCACGCGGTGGTGCCGTGCAGCCCTCGGCGCACCGACAGTGGCAAAGGACATAGCGAAGAACGTGATGAGCAAATCGACAGGGAATGGAAAACATGAACAACGCAACAACGCAGCCCAGCCTGGCTAGCGAGTCAGTTGCTTTGAATAGATAGCATAGGAACGAAAAAGTGCAGAACGTCGGGGCCGAAGGCCCGACTTCTGGACTGGTATGGGATGTTCTTGGTGTCCCCATGTTCCTGGCGCCAGCCCTGATGCTCATTCCGGGGGGGTGGGGGTGGGGGGGGTGCGTTAGACCGAGAGAGCTCCCATGTACTCCAGAACCCGTGTCATATTTTCACATTGGAAAAGTCCGCAGCAGCAAGCTCGCTAAGTCACTGATCCCAGGCCAGGCTTGCCCTTGAACATGGATTCCAGGAAAATAATGACCGACACGGATTGACATTAGCAAAGCACGCCAGGTATTTCTGAATGCGGAGCACTTGGATTCATGCAACCTTCTCCGTTTCTGTACTAAGAGCAACCTTGAAAAGATGCAAGAACAGACCTGGCAGATATTCAGAAGCCCGGATCCTCAGGTGCCCACCGCTTCTGTAGCCCCATTTCCACTCGTCTCGCTCCCGAAACCAACGAATAATGCATTACAATTGTGCAACAAAAAATCTCACTCACAAGATACAGATTTCGAATACATCCCGGAAATCAGTCCTGGTACAGATGATGCATCTGCTGCAATGGCCCCCCACGCACATGCGTCTTTTTAACATCGCCCATCAGCCCTGAGCGCAAGCATGGCTTCCCTGGCAATTCATATACGCGTTACCTCTCGAAGTGCTGGAAAAAATGTGTGGACCTATTCAACGAGTCCTCGGCCGAATACTACGGTAACTACCCCCGTTGCGAAGAGCTGCGCTTCTTTATTCGATGTGTAGTGACAGAAATACAGTTCACGTGCTGCAAACGTTGCAAGCTCATTCACGGGGTGAGCGCTTCCTGTTGGGGACTGTCAAATGCCCGGCGCTGCGCAGCGCCTAGGCGATCGGATTGTCGGCAAATGGCGAAGAGAGAAGAATCTGTTGCGGAGGAATGTTCATCGCCTGGATCCCTTAGCAGAGGTGCACATGGTCGCTCTGACTGGATGGGTGGGAGCCACGTTCCTCTGGTCGCCTGAGGCCACTGCTTGAGCAGTTAATATTGGCAAAATAGGATACATCGCTTCCTGCCCTTGGTGGACGTGTTGCAAATTCGCAAGCAGCATGCGCAAACACACGGCGACTCCTTCCTTTGACGCCTCGAGTGTTCGAATTTGAGCATCCTTGTGTCTCAAAATGTCTCGTTCCTGACATACCACAGAAAGAAAATGACTATTCGGACAGCACTGCTTGCCTGCATTGAATTGCTACGGACCGACTATCCATGGCTGGCTTTGGGACATTCCGTCAGCACAACACGTGCGACTGCAAAACGCCGCCGAAACGGCCAGTGTAATGCTTGCAGCAACGTGCACGTTGCTGAACACAGTGAAAATGTGTTCACTGTGCAGCACCTTGGCTCGCCGTTCCTGTGAGCAACGCTGCGTGCGGGCACAGAACAGAAAGACCACTTTCTAAGGTGGTCATGAATGGCGTCTGAAACCAAATGGCGAAAGCGCGGACCTTACTTTTTTGGTTAACCTCATTAGAGTAACGGGCAAACCGCATATTTGAACGGGAAGTTTCGCTTCAGATCTTCAAGCGCGTCAGCTCATCTGAAAAAATCTGAATCACAGCAACAAGAATTCACCTTTTCTAGCTCCGCTGTCAGCTCTTTTATGGCAGTCTCGCGCTCCTCCAGTAGTTCATTCATTTTCTGCAAGCACGCCTCGTAGCGCTCCACGAGATCACCCGGCTGACGAGCTTCACCAAGGGCATGGCCGGCAGCTGTAAAATGCGTTCCAGGATGATAGGCCGAGCATCCGTTGGGTGCAACCTGCCAAACACAAGCACCACCGTCCGGAAAAGATTGGAGGGAAAGTGTGTTGATCAGTTGAGAGCACACTCATGGCCACACTTGCGCACTTTGCGCGTTTATGATGGATGGATGCAATTATTCTGCCTGGTTACTCACTGGGATCGGTGGGCCATCCTCTTTGCCACAGCAGGCGACTCCGTCCCCCAGGCAGTTCCTTTTTCCAGCCGCCGTCATCACCGTGGATGGCAGTATGTGGAAAGGCAGGCTGGGTGGCGGACGGCAGGAGATTTCCTGCGATTGAAGCACTACCCTTGCAAAGACATTAGGAGCTCCAATATCGCAATGCTTGAGGCCGCTACCTGCACACAGAAGAATGTGAAAACGAGGGGGACGATCGCTCAAATGATGATACGTCATGCTGGTAGGGAAGCGAGTGCCAAGCAAAAACATGTGCTCATGGTAGGCAACATTCCATACCAATTTATGCGTCAGGTGGTTTTATGGCACAGGGGATTGTCAAGTTATAGATTATTCCAAACCATAGTTCACTGTTCATTTTCAGTTACGACATGTCAAGAATGGCAATAGGCATAGAACGCAGTGTTCAAAGCACGCTACGCATCAAGATGCTCCACATGTGGTGCTCATTGCTCAGTGAGCGTCCAAATGCTCATCTCATTGGGTCAGCGCCATGGTCATTGAGCCGGTTCGCTTGGTGGATCCACCCCATTTACATCGATCCAGTCACACTGGTGCCTTTTTGCAAGATTGGCCTCCCCAAATACATATCTAATTTTATACCTCGAACGGGTGCCATCGCGCAACAAGCCTGTCATTGAACCACTCCCAAAAGACGGTAAGAAAGATGGTACCTATCCCGACATTTACCTCCACACATTGATACACGCCGTTCCCTGCTGCGAGAGCGCCCATCTTCGGAAAAGAGCGAACGGCCACCAGATTCCCTCGATCCCAACACTGAGTTGCTCAAATCTTCGTCCCTTAGGGCCTCTACATTCCTGCAAGGCACTCCGCATCTGTTTGATTCATTCTGAGTGCCATAAATTTCTGTTTCTCTCTGTGCCTGACGTCCATCAACGCGGCCACTCTGCTCTTCCCCCTGCCACTTTGTTGTGCACCTTCCGCTCAGGTGCTGCAATGCTTCTGCAGCGAGCCGCTGGCGCTCCAATTCTGCGTTGTTGTCCGAGACCGCGGCTGTAAATCCTCTATTTCGCACAGCATTATGCGGAGCAGTGGGCCAACAATTTCTGAAGAGAGCATTGCAAATGAATGCTAAGTACAACATCGCAACATTGAAGAAACATGTGTTTGACGTTTAGTGCTCTATGCGTGTACATGATGCACTGTACCATAACTCAACGTCTTCTGTGTTCTCTACACTTTGTGAGTTAATAAATGATAATTTGAATCATTGCATCGAGTTATTTCGATAGCGCCAAGTAGTAATTCGCCATGATGGCATCATGAACACTCTGGGTTTCGTTACACAAACGAGCATACACTTGAGGCCATTATGAATCCCCAACGACCAATCGGATAAGTGCTCAGTGATCAAACGGATAATGCCAGCCCGTGTATCTCTTCCGTTAACTAAGTGCCGCAAATCCCTGACTTTACCCAGACAGCCTTATCTAAATGTCGATGTCAACTCCGTCACATAGAAAACCACAACACATCCACGCACCCAATGTATCCATACTCAAATGATTGAGTAGCTTGGTGGGTGTTTCCTAGCATTGCTGCCGACAATCTCATTGATCAGATTGTCGGCAGCAACGCTAGGAAATTCTCATCATCATGTGCATATGTTTGGATTGATGCACGTAAATTCATGTGCAGTTCCTCAAACCAGCTCAACAGCAAGTATTTGCTGCACTAATGGGCATTTACCTTTCGTCAACCAGCATCATGTCCTGGCGGCAGCCATGCTCCTTGGGGCTGCGCGACTGCGCCCTTTTTTTTGTCGGTACATGAACGACAGATCCAATTGCCTTTGGTTTCCGACCATTGCACAAAAGCGCCGGGGGCGGTCGCATGGGAACCAGCCTTGAATCGACACCCCTCTGCATTGCCTCTTCAGGGTATTGCTTCTGCATCACAATGAGCGCAGTGACTGAGGCTGCCACCACGCCCCAAGGTCCGGCCACCGCAAATATTTCATGTGCTGGATAGGGACGCTCTTGACCCAGCACATGGATCCTCTGTACTTATATGGATGCTCGATGCCTTTGTACTGTCACGTCACTGGGCATTGAGTGAAGGATTTGAAGAATGCAAAATTACGGGCAATGTAAAGAAATCACGCACTGTCTCCACCGAAGTCGGATGACGAAAACGTGTCATTTTGCTGCCGGGCTGCAAGGAACTCTTTCGGCTTGTCCGAAATGTGCATGCTGGAGCACACTTCAGCATTCGGGTGCATTTGAGACACAACTGTGAGAGCCGGAGACACGGCACTATGTGTATCAGTAGTCGTATCTGAAGGGGAGATTTGTGCAACATCTATGGTACGCAGGATCAACAACGTGATCTGCGCGATCGCATCCATTCGTGAATGAGCACCGGCGCATTGCTGTGACAATTGAGCGCAAGCCCTCACTTGTTCATACGACAGCAGGTACTTGTCGTAGATCCGCTTCACATGGAACGACAGGTTGGTCATCGAGGGCGGAGGCCGAAAGTGGCGCCCGACAGCCGCCCACCGTTTCCTCCTGCACACCTGCGGGCACGGCAGCTCGAGGAATTGCCACCGGGACACAGTTGCCCCCATGCCCAAGGCGTTGGCCACCTGCGGGCCAACATTCCATGGGGTGCCGGAATTGAAGACCCGTGGGATGCGCGGGCCACGTGTGGTACCACGGTCAGCGCAATTCTGAACGGCCGCAGCAAGAGGGACTCAGCCCGGCACAGCGGGCCGCAAATGGGCAACAGTACTTGGCCCAGGGCTTCAGGCGGACGCCTGGGCAATGTGCACCACCAGGGCTCCGCGCACGGCGGCGCGCGTTGGAGCTAGGAGGCGCTCGAAACGAGGCGGCGTCCGGCGCAGCGGCAACAGTTGTGGCTCGCGCCCAAGTTAGTAAGTGCGTGAGCGCAACGGCCCGAAAGCCACATCCCTTAAAATGGTCACACGGCTTCACCGAGAAGAGGACTGCGAAAACCGGCCACGCGTTCAGAGGAAGCGGCGCGTCCGTGAGCCGGCCCCAAGCATAAGCTGCCCTGGCGACTCCGAGCGTCCAGGTGGCGCGAGTCCCACTCGTAAATGTGAGTGCTGGGCTGGATTGGTATTCGGGACGTTGGGCCCGGGGGCGCCCACCTCTCTCGACCCCCCGCTCGCCCTGACCAACTTCCACAGCTTGAGAAGGTCCATGTCCTTGTGGTTGAATGTGGGGGGAATCTGTACCGGTCAAGGGGCCACAGGTGAGACTCCAGACTGCCCAGGGTGGAGGACGCCCGGCGGCCGCGACACGCAATTCAAGGCGCCCGCAGGTCGTCAACCATGCCGACGCCAATCACACGTTCCGACACTCTCCGCGGTCCTACGACAAACCCGCGCGGCAGCGAAAGGCCGAATGGCCGGCCGCGCTGGCTGGCAATCGCTGGCGGCTGGGCGTCCTCATGCAAACATGTGTTGGGCCTGTGCTGGGTCGCTTGGATGTGCCGGCGCC